CTTGAAGCAAGCCAAAGTCCCCGCCTTAGGACAATGTGAAATGACGAACGTAGAACACTGAAAACTTTACGGGAAGACAAAGATATCATGATGGCTTTCGTGCTGATAAGGGAAATAATCGGTTGTAAGGGACAGAGTAATGTAAGAAGAAAAGAGATAACTAACATGCTCAGAAACAAAGCAACATATCGAGTACTGGATAAAGATCCTGCGAAACGCTGTGAGACGAAGATAAAACCTACTGTTACCTTTAAAGTCCAAATTAAACAAGAAGGTATATGCAACAAGCTAAATACGACCGATGGCATTACACCTAGAATTTATAGTTTACCAAAGATTCACAAGGAAGGTATCCCGTTAAGACTTATTTGAGTTTTGTTTAGATTCAACGGAGTTTCAGTTCAGAGGTAGATTCTGTAAACAAATACATGGTACAGCCATGGGTTCACCAGTTTCAGTGGTTATTGCTAAACTAGTTATGGAGGTTTTTGAAGGAGGAAGTTCTTCTAYATTTACTAAGGTTGCTCTGAAGTGACATCACTAAATTGATCTTTTTCGCTATTATTTGCTGTTGTTTGTCTTTTTTGAATTGTTAGTTGCTAGTTGCCAGTCGCCAGTTAAGAGTTGAAGACAGCAAAGGATGGATAACCTTGCTTTACATCAAAGGTACCAAACAGCCCGTTTAAAGAAAACTTTAGAATCTTATAACTTTAAAGTAAACAACTTGATGAGACCGAAAGATCGACTATCAACGTGTAAAAAGACTGGTATCGTACATGATATATCATGTAGTGATTGGAGTATACATTACATAGGTGAGACAGGCTGGGCTTTGGACACTAGGAAGAAGGAAAATGTGAGAAGTGTACGCGATTTACAAAGAGAGAAGTCTGCATTGGCTGAACATGTTTATGGGCTAGATTGCGTTCGATGAGATGAAAGTTATCTGTAGAGAGAACTGCTGGGGCCAGTGTAAATGGAAGGAGGTGTTGTTTATCGAGAAAGATAAAGGAACTACCATCGCAAATAGAGACGATGGTCGTACTTTGCCACCTATCTACACAACATTAATTTAAAAAAGTATTATATATACTTATATATAGGTTCTATTTCAATTTTCATTTATTATTATTTTTGATTAGTAAAATGAATTTAAATAAAAATCAGCATAAGGTTGCATACATTTTGTAACTACATTAGAAAAAAATCAACTCACTTCCTGCTCAATGATATTTCTCAACTTCTCAGATTCTGTAGAGTTTATATTTTCATAGTCACTTTTAAAGGTAAGTCCTGTCATTTCAATACCCATGCTATCTTTGGAACATGTGGAGTCACCTATGTTATATGCAGAAAACAAAAACAGGTATATTAAGTGAGATAGGGAATACCAGTTACCACTGTTATGAATGTACTTGTTATTAATTACTTACATCCTGTATACTGTACGACTGCCACAGCTGACACACTGCCTGCAACACTTCTAGCAGTACAATTGTACACACCAGAATCACTCTTTGGATTGATTGTTAGTGGAGTCTGTGATTCAGTTACCCTGMTTTCTCCTGATGCCTCTAAGATTGTCCAGCTGATTCTTGGTTGCGGTCTTCCTTTAGCAGTGCATTCAAGGGTAATACTACTGTCCGAAGTTTGTTTATTCTTTGGTGTGTTTGTGAATGATGGTTTTTCTAAAAATGAAAGGAGAAATTGTCTATTAACATGTACAACGTAATTTCNTCCTCGACAAACAAGGCCCACTCGGCACTAAAATGGTTCCACTCTCTCTGCCCGCTCGAAAGTCTCAATCCACTGGACGAGGGTATCTGTAGGAATATAGTCGAAAGCACCAAAAGATCCCGGATAACTCCCAAAACAAAGAAGAAACCTATCACCATTGAAATAATAAAGCGGTTTATAGACAATGACGCAACAGACAACTCATCCTTGATAGAGCTRCGTGTAGCCACTTCATGTGCAATTGGATTTGCTGGGTTCCTGTGATTCAATGAGCTGTCAATACATATCTCTTTTGATAAGCACTTTATAGTAATTTTCATTCCAAATAGTAAGACAGACATTTACCGAGAAGGTAACAAGATTTACATCGCTAGAACGGGGACTAAATATTGCCCTGTAGCATTACTAAAAGTACATAGAGTCAGATAATATTCCTAGAATAATTGAATTACATTTGTTCCGTAGAATAACGAAAACTGTCTTACACAAGGTGTAGAGAAACGTTGAAAGTCTGCTATATTTCCCTAGATTACAATCATAAAGACTAAGCTCTACATAGCTTGGCTTAAGATCAGGCGGTATTACAGCAGCTATACAGTCAAATATTTCTATTTCAGAAAGACTATTAAAACTCCATGGTCGTTGGAAAAGAGATACTGCAAAAGACATGTATGCCCGAGAGCCTGTAGAAGTAGAATAGCTAAAAATTTAAGATTGTTAATCATCCATTGTCATCTAGTATTAGTGACGTTAAAAAGCTATTAATCATTTATCAATATCTGTTTATTATTGCTAATAAAATCAGAATTATGGTCCGCAAGCGCAACCTGCCATTTACAACATCGTATGTTGTCTTACTTATATTCGAAATATAGAAGATAAATATTTTACGTTCGTTTGAACGAAGTGAATTAGAACGTAAGTACTACTACAGCCATTGGTTTTGTTACATGATTT